AAAAATTATTAGTGCCAAAAAAGATTGACAAGAGTTAAACGACCGATGAAGCCAACAGTTTTTGAGCTTTGCAAGAAGCCCGTCTAAAGATCTTCATTATTCGTTATCGTTAGTGAGACATAAAGATAAAAGCAACACAAGGGAAGCGTCGGAAGAAAAACTCCAACAAGAACTTTGTGATACGAAAGACAGAATCAGAATGCACATTAAACTCTAGAATCTTTTTAAAGGTTGAAACATTGAGTAATGAAGAATATAAACAGGTATAGTAACGTACCAATCCACTTGTACCAGGCTTGTTTAAGTCTTCGTCCTCCTCTTCCTCCTTCACGTCGTCCTCTATCCTTTTCATGATCTTCCCATCAGCAGTTTTACCATAAACCTTCCTTAAACAGCGAACAACTTTCCTTACTCAGACTGTGAACGTAACCATCCATCCAATAAGACAAACTGATTTATACCTGATCAAAGCTTCGTCCTCCTCCTCCTGTAGCTTTATCTGTTCAGGTATCGAAAGTACTGGCTTTGTAGCTTCTAGAAAATCTTCCACATCAACAGCCTCCTTGTTTCTGCTGATTTCTTGTAGATCTTCCAGGTTACCTAAAACCAAGATAGCACTAATTTCACACAAATACTGTAATGAGGAAGTGAGTTATGAAAGAAGGAGATCAGTAATCATGATGCTTGGACACGTACCCATGGCTTCCATCTCCGCGCGACTCAACATCGTTCGTTTTTCGAGCATTTTCATTGGGTCCTTCTTATCCTCTTCTTCCTGCGCTTCTCTGGCCTTTTCAGCATCTTGATAGAGCTTCATTGCCTCGAACAATCGAGTAGCACCATGTTCCTGGATTTGAAATAATAATAAAGGTAGGGCAGCCTGACACAATAGGGAAAATGCTGTCTTAGCAGCTTAGTCAGCTATACAGCGCCCTAAAAACCTTTGGCGTTCACAAGAATATTGGGTGGGTGAATAGTTTCGAAACATTTGAGTTTGAATTCACTCTATTCACTTCTTTACTGGAATATGTCCTGTACTATTCGGAAGCACTTTTTCGGCTCTACAATAGTGTCCTTATATTTTCATTGATATTCCAAACGTCGGATCGAAACGCTACGAGCCCAATTACCAACCTTCATTCCCTGCAAGTTCAAAACCAAAAAAATTGTGCTAAAGGGGGGACTTTCCGAATTGAAACTTTTTACAGATAACACAAATTGCGTGATTACCTGGCTGAACACACACAAATATCAAGGATCAATCTCATTGTAATATAGAACCCAGTGCTCTTCACTAGCCCCAGGAAATGTTTTAATTCCTCAAGTCCTCACGAGATCGCCTCTATAGCCATATGACAAAAAAAAGTGAGGACAGGAAAACATGAAATGAGAAACAAGAACAACGTAATCGTGGACGGGCTCCAATTCAAATTCTAACGGGACTTAATTACAAGATTATCATACTGAAAAAGGTCAACCTCCACAAAAAATATCACACCACAAAATGAATGGTTTTGAAAACTCACATTCTGATAATCACAGTTCTCCAAGTCTGTTTTGAACGTGATTTCCGCTAAGCAATTTGGACACCTGAACGAAACGAAGGAAATAAAAATGAGATAAAGATAATAGAAAACAGATGGAAAAAATGAAGCTTTGTAAGTAAAAAAAACTGACAAGCTTCCTAAGTATGAAAACTTACTTGAAATAAATCCGAAAGATAGCTAGCGCCAGGTAATCCTTTCACACCTCGACCGTCTCTCTTTCAATGATGAACTTGCTTTCCTTGTGTAAATGTATTACATGAAGTATTAAGGTCATAATTAGAATGAGTCACATGCATCTCGTGTTTGAACGAACTGCCTGGAAATAAACAGAATTTAAGATTCTAAAGAGGAAACTTGGAAGCACTGTTAGATTAAACTCCGAAAAACAGAAGTGTTTCGGGCTTTTCAAATAGCAGTGGGAAAGTAGCCTTACTCACCGGTTAAACATGATTAAAATTTGATCAAATTCTTGGAGACTAGGCGGTCCTAATCTAGCAGACACACCAAGGATTGCAAGATTTAGACATCTTTTACTTACAGCTCGCCGCCTTATAATTTTAGCACACTTACGAAGCCTAACGGAAGGAGGAGAGATGGAAATAAAGCTAGGAGGAGCACCGCATGTCTTAAGCCTTCGTAGAAAATAAAAGTTACTGATTTTTTTTTTTTGTTTTTTATTATTTATTTATCTATTCTTATTCTATTTCTTCATCAGATTCCCTCGAACGACCATCAATTCAGTGTTCTCATTTTGGTGACGCCATCAATACAAGTAAAAATACCGCCGAAACATTCTTACCTTGAGCAAGCACTAAACTCAGAAGCCCACTTATTGCGCTACAATTCCTTCAAATCCTATAAAACGTTCTGTTGAAGTAGACAACCTTGAACTACCTTCAGGATCTATTTCCTTCGATATTGGTCATTTCGCGCTCAGCAGAGAGAGCAGCATTACTTCAGCTCCAACTTATTTTGTCAACCTTAGGTAAATGAGGAGCCCGCGATGTTGGTGCAAGGACGATCACCCGTCAGAGGGGAGGCGAAAGAAATCATCTTTCTTTCCGACAGAGAATGTTTCCAGTCTCTTTTGCTTAAGTTAAGGGAATGAAAAGCATGCATTCATTGTACGAAATCTTATACATTTGACCCATTAGTGTCAAATACATGACAATAAAGAATTGACAACACATCAATACAACTTACCGAGCTCGGGTTCCTTTCGCTCTAGGCAATTTAGTTGGATCATAATCCGGAGGGTAGTATTTCTGAAAGAGAAAATCGAATGACATTATGAAGAAGAGAAGGAAAATGAAATCGAAGAAACTTTCAAAAACCATACCTGAAATACTTTACGTTCTGTCCCGGTCATGTTTCAAACACGGAGATTAGACGACAATCCAACTCTACAAGAAGGAAGATTTAACTGCTAGAGTGCCCAGCTACAAGATTACCGAAAAGGAACTGCGTTATTGACATGATTCGCACTGGAGCGCCGCGGCAACTCGTACACATCGCGCATGCCGCGCGCGACTTCGCGAACGGCCACGGGTGGGAGGTTCGCAGCTGGTACCGGGTGTGCTATGTCGGGGATTCTATTCTAGCAAATGGCGACGAACGCCTTGACTGCAAGGGTCAAAGATTTGGAGAAGAAGGCCAAAAAACCAGGAAGATGCCGATTTTCGGTCAGATACGGCGATAGGGTTGAAACAAAGCACTCCTTCAGGGCCCTAATGTTTCGAATGAGGGCCAAGTGCATGGCGCACCCCAGAGAGGACGACACTTATTTTTAAATTGTTCTATAAATCATGTAGAAATGGTTCTCACAGGCACACTCTCTCCCTCGCTCCCCCGTCCATGTTGCCCCGTTTCGAACCTTTAAATTCCCTGTCGCTTCATCTTTCGTTCAATTGCTTAACGATTCGCTGTCCACCAGGTGACAGGCGCCATACGCTCGTCGTTAACGATTCGTAAGGAATGTGTTGAAATGGCGTCAATAAATTTCTCAGCAGTGTCCTTCCACCCGTTTAGATTTAGCATAAAAACGGGTTGCGTAGGAGTAATCCACTGTAAAACACCACATTGCTATGGTTCCTTCAACCCGCGATGACCACTGTCACCAGTTGTTCGCCAGCAAGGGATCCCAAAAACTCCTGAAACTTTGAGACCTGAGTGAATCGATACTCAGGAGTCCGAGACGCAAAGCTTGCTATCCGAAGCCTAGAATGCAAAGTTTTCTCTAGTATCTCGTGTAAACAGCGTAGGAGCTTGTCCAACGCCATTTCCTCTACTGAATTCAACATTTATGCCTTCTTATGTTTTTGCTTTTCAACATGGAGCTATACCTGTGGAACAAACAAAATACTGGCCGTGCATTACACCCAAGGTTAACTATTCAGAGAATAAATGAGGAAGCATTTGGCGATGAGTCCTTTCTAGGATGCGCCACGCGATCTACTTTCTTTCTGACTCGTGGAGTCGTTCTGCATTACAGTTTTTCTTCTGTATGACATGCAAGGCGCCATGTACTTAAGATTTTTTGTTCCCAAATCGTTCCTTAAATGACTTTTCTTTCATCCTACGCACAACTCTGTTGAACGGGCTAAGCGGAGTTTATAAAGTAAAGCGAAGAGTGGTGAGAAACAAGCGACTAAAAATTCTGAGTATACTCGGATAAGCGGGTAAAGAATTTCCGTCAGAAGAACTCTAATATTATAGATAAGGAAAAGCTTTCAATATACTCGCCGAAAATACAGCACCCATTTCGTCAAATACGATCCACTCAGCTTCCCCAAATCGCAAATGTGTACCAATCCCAATACACCTTGTTCGGCTCACGAGTGATCTTTGGCTGTTTCCACAGCTGGGGATGGGATAGAAACTGAGTTAGTTTTTTTTTTCGATTGCTACATCTTCTCACACAATTTTTATACCTGTCTCACAATGACGCCATTTCCTGGAATTGGGGAGTCCTGAATGTGAAATGGGATAGATTCAAAGAGATTTCCCTTATATACGCCAATGGTGTGCGTGACAGCATGTGACGAGGAGCTGAACTTTCATTGGTGGAGATGGTTCAGTTCAAATTGGCTTGATGTGTTGAGTAGAAATGACTGCTTTTTTCGCCTTTGGTTTTTGAGGGTTTGGCTGGAAAGGTTCGCGTAATTGGGCTGGTGCCATACTGTGTTTTGTATAGTCCAGTTGGTTTTTAACAGTTTCATATTGCTAATGGTAGGGAATAAATACAGTACTCGCCGTTTGAAATCGAAAATTCACGCGAATAACGCGAATCCTCGTTAATTTCGTGAATTCGTTATAAGTCGGGTCAGAGTGAAGTATTCCAGAAACGGAAAACACCGTTGAACTCAGCTCTTCAAGCGCTACAAGATGGTGCTGTTATTTTTTCAGAAAGCTTGATTTCGGAATGCGCCATGCACACGGGTTCTATCTCAAAAAGTAGTTGCTCGCATGTGATGTGTATATAATCCCGCTTATGCGGGCTAACCGCTACACAAAGAAGGGCCTCAAACTTACAGAATGCGCCACGGTATCGTTCATCCACTACATTGTAAGATTAGATGAATGTTATTTTCCGAATTCTGAGATCTTCATTTCGTTTTCAAAGCGCTTACTAGCTTTACGTGTTCCTCTGCTCTCAATATCCCATCCTCTGTATATCAAGTGGAATCTTTGAACAGTTCTCAGCAGGCATAGTGGGCCTATTATGTGACATTTTCCATTTTCAGAGGACATGTTTTGCAGAAAGCTGTGAAGATAGCGAACAATTTCCTTCACTGTCGTAGACTACGGTCACTTGTCTGTAAGGATTATATGGAAACCTTGGTCGCAGGTGAGCGTTTCTTCCGTGGTGTGACCCCAAACATCACCCTTGTCATGCCTTTGCCCCCTATTACGTGACAAGTCCCATTTTTAGAGGAATGTTTTGTAGAAAGCTGTAAAGGAAGCGAAGAATTTCCTTCACTGTCGTAGACTATGGTCACTTGTCTGTAGGAATTATGTGGAAAACTCGGTCGCAAGTAAGCGTTCCTTCCGTGGTGTGGCCCCAAACATGCCTCCTCGTCATGCCTTGTGGAATGTTCAGATTTTTTGCATTTCCAGATGAACTCGCAGACCTGAAATGTGCCCCGTTAGCTTTCCCGTGAAAAATGCCATCGAATGATATGCATTACTTCCCCAGTTGAAACTTTGGTTTTTCACCGTTTTCAGCCTTCCCCTATTGCCGGGTCACTATCCCACATTACTGCCCCAAAATCTCAAAGTTTCATTTTTCGTCGAAACTTTGTCTATTGGGGTAATTCGATGCCCTGATTACGAATATGACATTCATTTTTGATGCTGGTGTCATTTGGCGCCATTTGGCGCCGTTTGGCCAATTTGGCGCCACGGCTGTTTTCACCAAATCTGCTGAAACTTCGTCATTTGGGGTTATTTGGGGTCCTGATTACGAAAACGACAGCCGCTCTAGCGC